GACATTAGTCAAATTGTACAAGTTAGAAACAGCATGACTGTTTGGGAGAACAAGAAGGAATCCTCAGTAGCAGCGGCACTTGAAATTATTTTAGGCAGGATTAGAGTAAGTTAATCTATGAGACTTCCCCCCCCTTTTATTAGCTATATTTTGTGCACCAGTAATACCAAGCGTGGGGCACGCTTATACCCGATCCGACTTTGTTACTCATCAGGATCTCTATCAGCCTACCCTCAAATTAAAATTCTTTTAGGCAGGATTAGAGTAAATTACTCTATGAGACCTTGAGCGTGGTCAAATACATCAAATCGAAAGGGTTTGACCCCCTGAGTCCAAAACTGTAGATAGATTTCAAATTAGTCAAAAGGTGACAGGGCTACGAGTTAATAGTTTGTACTCGAAAAATTCGAAGCCATTCTGTAACCCGCTACGTCGCGGCTAAAAATAACACCCACGTAGCCATAGAATTAAAGTCAAAATGTTGTCACAGCAATTGGCTGTTTTATCAAAGTCAATTCAAGATAGCATAGAGAAGCGTACATTATTAATACGTTGTGTTTTGAAACAGGTTTGCAACTAAGGAAAATTTCCAAACATAAAGATGAAATTTACTGTGCTACTAAAAGTACATAGTATAGATTAGTCTAATGGTCCTTCTTTCGTCAGCTCCAGCTCCCCACCCCTTCCTCCGCCAGTGGCTCAGCGGTAAGTCTTAGAGCTTACAACACCAAAATTTAGTTTTCGATACCCACGGTAGCCAGAGTAGCACAAATAGCCTATTGCGTGGTTTTGTGCTTAGCAATAAACACAAATGAATATAGTATATTTCGCCTATTCTATATATGTAGATATGAGAGTAACAAAACGGACAATGATATACCCTCAGGGCTCAAGGAAGGGATTACAGTCGCCAATAAGCTAGAAAACAGTATAAGTGATACTGCATTTTATTGTTTGTTTTGAATTTCGCGCAAAGGTACACGAGGGCTATCTACACTAGCCGTCCCTAATTTAGCAGTGTAAGACTAGAGGGAAGGCAGCTAGTCATCACCAACCACCACCAACTCTTGGGATACTCTTTTACCAACGAATAGTGCGATTGGCCATCACATTATAACGCCCCCACGGCTGAAAAGGCGAGCATGTTTGGTATGACGGGGATTCAAACCCTCGACTCTCAGGTTACGAGTCGAACGCCTTAACCACTTGGCCATGCCGGCCGCTGCATTTTATATGGGGTTGGTTTGTGGAAAATTTCTTCAGATATTTGATTATAATGGGTGTTTTCTTATAGCAAAGCCACGTCGGGCTATCTGCTATGCCCACCAAGGGGAATCGAACTCGGGACTTTGATTATAAACTGTTATTGAGAGTTTGTAGTTTTCAATGTTCTTCGTGTTATACAGAATGTTATACAGTGTCATTTCTTATAATACCTAAGAACTAGCTCTTAGCTTGTAGGGAGAACAGCACTCAGCTACATGTAAGTAAACATGCAATTGACAACAAGGTTTAACTATTATTTTAGGAGTTCTGGGGAAAAATTAATGTGCAGCTGGGCTTAATTTTCATCCATTACCACCGTATGCTGAAGCCTCAAGTCTTGACTTCCAGTGCTGACATCTATTTGCTTTTGATCAGTAAAACACTATTTTCTTCCTAACTGTCGATTATCGACTATGAGAGTCCTCTGAGAATATTTACTTTGTCAATGACAGTAAAAGACACGTCAGATTCTGATGCTCAGCCTATCGGAGCTGAGGACTTAGCCAGTATGCTACCATTTATTAAGCATACTGATCTTACTAATCCTCTTGATCTAACATCAATGGAAGTGGATAGATAATTACTAGTCCCTGTCTTCCACCTCATCACGCCATCTAAAGAAGAAGCAGAAAGGAAAATGCTTTGGGAGTCAAGCAGTAGCTCAATTCC